CAATGATTCTCCTGCCTCAGCCTCCCGAGTAGCTGGGATTACAGGTGCACGGCACTATGCCCGGCTAATTTTTGTATTTTTAGTAGAGAAGGGGTTTCACCATGTTGGTCAGGATGGTCTCAAAGTCCTGACCTTGTGATCCGCCCACCTCAGCCTCCCAAAGTGCTGGGATTACAGGTGTGAGCCACTGCGCCTGGCCTGACTGTTGCATTTAACAAGGCACAAATTCATGTTAATTTTATTCTGTGGTGTAGTTTAAGTCCATTCTTTCTTTGTTGACTTTCTGTCTTGATGACCTTTCTAGTGCTGTCAGTGGAATATTGAAATTCCCCAGTATTACTGTGTTGCTATGTCATTTCTTAGGTCTAGTCATAATTGTTTTATGAATTTGGGAGCTTCTGTGTTAAGTGTGTATGTATTTAGGATTGTGATATTTTTCTATTGACTAATCCTTTTATCATTATATAATGTCCCTCTTTGTCCTTTTTTTTTTTTAACTGTTGTTACTTTCAAGTCTATTTATGTTGTTTTATGTAAGAATAGCTTCTCCTGCTTGCTTTTTGTTTCCATTTGTGTGGAATATCTTTTTCCTCTCCTTTACCTTAAGTTTATGTGAGTTCCTATGTGTTACATGAGTCTCTTGAAGACACCAGATACTTGATTGGTGTATTTTTATCCATTCTGCCATTTTGTATCTTTTGAGTGGAGCACTGAGACCATTTACATTCAACGTTAGTATTGAGATGTGGGGTAGTGCTCTATTTATTATGCTAGTTCTTGCCTAAATATCCTTTTTTCGTTGTGTTATTGTTTATAGGGCCTGTGAGATTTATGTTTTAAGGAGGTTCTTTTGGTGTATTTCAAGGTTTTGTTTCAAGATTTAGAACTTCTTTTACCACTTCTTGTAGTCCTAGCTTGGTAGTGGCAGATTCTCTCAGCATTTGTTTGTCTAAAAAAGACTATCTTTCCTTTGTTTGTGAAGCATAGTTTTGCTGGATACAGAATTCTTAGCTGACAATCATTTTGTTTAAGGGGGCTAAAGATATGACCCCAATCCCTTCTGGCTTGTAAATTTTCTGCTGAGAAGTCAGCTGTTAATCTGATAGGTTTTCCTTTATAGGTTACCTGATGCTTTTCTCTCACAGCTCTAAAGATTCTTTCATTCTTCCCGACTTTAAATAACCAGATGACTGTACCTGGGTCATGATCCTTTGTGATGAATTTCTCAGGAGTTCTTTAAGAGAGTATCAGTTGCTATGTTAGAAGGGGTATATACAGTTTCCCTAAGTTGGTCCAGGGGAGGCATCCTGGTTTCTCAGGTGATGGGCAGGGCCATAGTGTTCCCAAGAGTTTATGTCTTTTGTGTTTGGCTACCAGGGTGGGTAGAGAAAAACCATCAGGTGGGGACAGGGTTAAGGGGATCTGGGCTCAGACTCTCCCTGGGCAGGGCTTGCTGCAGCTGCTGTGGGAGATGTGGGAGTGGTTCTTGAGCCAATGGAGATATGTTCCAGAAGGGATTATGGCTGTGTCTGCTGCATCACATAGGTTGCCAGGGAAGTGGGGGAAAGCTGGTAGTGGAAGACCTCACCCAGCTCCCACGCAGTTTGTGAGGCTGGTCTTGCTCCCACAGTACCCAGCTAACAGCGCCAGGTTTAGATGCAGACAGCCTGTGTGTGGGACTCAGTCCCAGCCCAGGCCATAAGCTTCCGCGCTGAGAAAGCAAGCATGGCTGGCTTTCAGGTCTTGCCCTCCCCATCTGCCCACAATGTTGGCAGCTCCTGTGCTCATATCTGTAGCAGTTCCCTTTTACCCACTCCTGATTCTGCTCAAGGAAGTTCGTGCCCAGTCTAAATTATCACAGAATTCAGTTGGAAGCTTCTTTCACCCTTTGACCTCTCCCTAATTCCGCTGGCTGTCTTTTCTGAGGGAGGACCTCTGTGAGAAACAGTCAGGGATGGCTTCCCTGGACTAGAGCTGGAGACTGAGAATGCCTACAAGGCTCTTCTCACTGCTGCTTCTACTTTATATTTCGCTTGGCTGCCTAAATATGCTTCAGCTCTAGGTAAGGTTACGTCCTTCTCCTGTGATATGGATTTTTAGATTCCCCAGTGGGGATGTGTGTTTGGAGGCAGTTTTTTTCCCCTCACATTTTGGGAACTCACAGTTTTTTGCCTGTCTCATGGAATTTGCAGTGAGAATTGCATGAATTGCAGTGGCCTGCTGCTTCTTTCAAAGGATCTGTGAATTCTTTCAGTTTTTTTGGTACATTCCTGCGGTGGTTCTTGGAACAGAACTTCACAGTATGAGTCTCCACATGCCTTTCAGTCCATCCTAGTGGGAGACGCACATTATCCTTGCCTCCTGTCTGCCATCTTCTTGCCTAACTGCTTTAAAGGGTTATTGTAAGAATGATATAATCTATGTACTCATATATACAAACCTGCTTATTAATGTCTACAAAAGTGGTCTGTAAATTGCAAATTGGCATGCAAATACTATTATTTGTAAAATGTGCTGCTATGGGAATTACAGAAGAGAATAAGATAATGATACTGCAACAAAAGTTTACGTTGAAGAAAAAGGTGAAACTCAGTCACAATTTGAAGAGTGTATTATTAACATTTTTGAAACAACTATAATGTTTTGTGTATTCTTTGTCTCCCAAGATGTTTTATGCTTTGAGAAGCAGTGGATCTGGTGACAGCAGCTTCATATTGTCCCTTCAGGACACATCTGCCCAGCACCTACTGCCATGCTCAAGTTACAGAGTCTACAGAGTAACCATGGTAGCTTTGGAAGGTGTAGCTATTTTCATATGACGCTCAAAGTATCTTTGCAAATATTAAAAAAAAGTGAGATAAAAATTGTGAATTGGAGACAAATGTGCCTTAAAATAACGTACACATGCTTTTATTTTGTTTTTCTCCAAATATTGAGACTTTTCAAGCCTTTAAAAATCACCTTTTATTTATTTTATTTTATTTTATTTTATTTATTATTTTTTTGAGACGGAGTCTCACTCTGTCGCCCAGGCTGGAGTGCAGTGGCGTGATCTCAGCTCATTGCAAGCTCTGCCTCCCGGGTTCACGCTATTCTCCTGCCTCAGCCTCCTGAGAAGCTGGGACCACAGGTGCCTGTCACCACACCCGGCTAATTTTTTGTATTTTTAGTAGAGACGGGGTTTCACCGTGTTAGCCGGGATAGTCTTGATCTCCTGACCTCGTGATCCGCCTGCCTTGGCCTCCCAAAGTGCTGGGATTACAGGCGTGAACCACTGCACCCGGCCAAAAATCCCCTTTTATTTATTATAACACAGAGCATTTGTCGTAAGGGCAATCATAGAGTATAAGGCCTCTAATTGTATTTTGAGAACATTTGTCAATTACATTATCACCTTCCTGGTACCTTGGCCTTATGAATATTAAAACAAGGGTTTCTAATCGAGACCTGTATTGAAAATGTTTGCTGGCTTCTTTTGAAGTGTTTTCCAAAGATGATCTGAAGTCCATTTTCCTTTGCGTCTTTTCTCTTGTGAAATTCTGCTCCCCACCTGCACACAGGAAATTGTTATTGCTGCCCCGCCCACAGCACAGAAGTGGTGCTGAGGGTTCATAGTCTGTACTGGAATGTCAGATTTCTCAAATCACGGGGCCAGGAGGCAGGCAGGGAAAGGTCCTGCTGATGAGTGGCACCCCACAGTTCTCTTTCTTTCTTTGCAATTCCTGTCTGACCAAGGGTCCTTCAGACAGAGGATTCCATCCTAGCAGTCCGGCCATGGATCCATGTCCCGCTGCCTCCTGAGGTCAAAATAGTTTAGATGGTGTGAAGTGCTGGGAAGGAGGTGGATGGGGTGGGGGGCAGGGATGGGAGCCAGCTCTCAGAGGCCTCTGCTGAGACCTGGGAAATGGGAAGAGCCCCCAAGTTGCAGAGAGGAGGAGGAATGGAGCATGAAGATAAAGTTTGCGTCCTGAGGCAATCAAAGCCCTGCTGTGTTGTAAGAGCTGGAAGAAAGGGTAAATAGAAAGAGTAGCAGTGGAGGGAGGAGGCGGTGAAGAGGAAGAGAGGCAGAGGTTGGGTTAGCAGAATCCCTCAGGGCCAGCATGAGGAGCACAGGGGTGGATTTTTCGAATCCACATGGCCAGCATGAGGACTGCACGGGTGGGGCTTTGAATACCCACAGCCTGCATGACCCCGCTGGATGTTTGGGTGCTTGCCCATCACTTTCTAAGCAGGTCTGTTGTCTGTGCCTTTAAGTGCATTGATTGCTGGCCTGCAGTGGGTTGTGGGATACAACAGAATCAAGGATGACCCCAGAGCCATTCCTGCATGTTTCCGAAGTGATTATGCTGTGAAGTTAAGTGTAAAGTTGGATGAAGATCTGAAATGTTTTATTGTCAGTGTTTCATTAGTTTATGCTCTATGAAACATAGCCAGTGAATCACTGATTATAGAACCTGTGGTAGCTTAACTGTAATTACATAGGGTGTTGTGAAATTGTTCAGTAAAGCCCAGGTTAGCTATGGGAGATGTGGGTTCCAATTGCAGTTCCCTAACAACTGATTTGCTGTGGTCAATTCAGAAAATAACTTTGTGTCTTAGTCATTTCAGTAATCAACGTTTACAATGCTAAGTGCCAGCGCTGCCCCGATGCCATATGGATCATTGTTTAGTCTTTGCCTCTCAGTAACTGTTCTCATTTTACAGTTGTGGAAGCTGATTGAGAAAGTCTAAGCAAGGTCTGTTAAGTGGGAATAGTGGAATTTGAGTCAAGGTTTGCTTAATTGGAAAGCCCATGAGAGGAATGGAGCAGTTGTGAATGTGGAACCTCCAGAGTTTTCAGCGATTTCTCGTGTTTTTTCTTGGGGTGAGGAGAGGTGAATAAATACGTATGATGTGGTATGTGTGTGTGGTCAAACTAGTAACTATCAATAGGTAATAGACTTTTTTCCTATATTAAGTATAATACCTATAGTCATCTTATATGTACTTTTTGTTTTTAGATTGAAGATGGAAAATCCCCAGGACATTTTCTCAAGTAATGGTGGCTGTCTAAGTGATATAGTTATAGAAAAATATCTGGTTGAATCCAAGGAGTCTGTGTCTCATGTTCAGCTTGCTTGTAGCATGCAGGACTGTGCTTTCCCTTTGGATGGGACTGAACTTTGTATATGGAACACGAAGAGTCCTTCTCATCAGGTATTGAACAAGTTCTAAGTCCAGTGTCATGAAGGCCTTGCCCTTGTCTCTCCATGTCTTTGATGCTCTTTGGACAGCATTACCCTCTGTGGATTCAGCTACCAACTATGGGAGAAAAATATCGATAAAAACATTATATTATTTTATTTTAAAATTTATTTTTATTTTACAATATTTTTATGTTTAGAACACAAGTGATCTGGAATTTAAAAGTTTCTTCAGTTAGAAGCTGATCAAGAAAAGATTCATCTTAACATAATCAAGTCTCCTACATTTGAATATTTAGATTGACCTCACTTTTTCAGTGAAGTATAAACTACTTAGGAAAAAAAAAAGTTCCACGTAATAAGTGCATGTTGTGATGACTATAACTAAATGAATATGCCCAGGTAACCACCCCTAGGTCATACCTTGTCTCCATCAATGCCCACTTCTCTCCTGCCCAAAAGGCAACACTAATTTGACTTCTAATACCATAGGTTAGTTTTGCTTATGATGAACTTTATATAAATGTGATTATACGTTACATACTTTTTTGTGCTGGTTTCTTTAATAGCATTATTTTATGAGATTCATTCAAGTTGTTCGTTTTCATTGCTACAGAGTATTAGGATTTATTAGGTACCACTATGCCCTTTTTGAAAGGCTAAACTAAAAATACATTTTTATTATAGAGTAATAAGTAGAATTACATTCTACTTATGTAAAGACTATACTTTATCCATTTTTGTTGTAGAATAGTAAGTAGAATTACATTCTACTTATGTAAATAGACCACACTTTATCCATGCTTGTGTTGGTAGACATTTGTTGTATTTCAGTTTTTTTGGCTGCTGGATTCTTTCGTATGTCTTTTGGTGCAGACACATATAATTACTGAATTATAAAGGATACATAAGCAGTTGACTCTTGAACAACGTGGGTTTGAACTGTGCTAGTTTACTTATACACGGATTTTCTTCAACCCAATGTGGGTCAAAACTGTAGAATTTTCAGGATATGAGAACTGTATATTTGGAGGGGCACATTTCCATATATGTGGAGTCCACACAGCCAACTGTGGGATGTGGGTATACACAGATTTTGGTTTATGTGGGATTCCTGGAATGAATCCTTCATAATAGTGAGGGATGTCTGTATTCAGTAGATAATGCCAAGCAGATTTCCAAATTGGTTGTACCAATCTGTAGTTCTTCTAATGGTGTTTGACTTTCAGTTGAACCATATCTTCACCTAAACTTGTTTATTTTTATTTTAGCCTTTCAAAAAGGGCCTAGTGGTATCTAATTATGATTAGTAATTCCGTGATTATTAATGATGTTTAGCACATTTTTGCACATTTATTGGCCATTTAGATATTCTTTTTTGTGATATATGTTTTCAAATCTCCTGCCATTTTTTTCTATTGGATTATCTTTTTTCTATTGATTTGAAGGAGTTCTTTATATTATAAATATAAGCTTTCTGTTGTCCATTTAGATTAGTTTGCATTTTCTAGAGTTTTATGTAAATTGAATCATATGGCAGTTTAATTTTGTGTTGACATGTAATACTTGTACATATTTTGGGGCTATATGTAATATTTTGATACAAGTATACAATGTGTTATGATCAAATCAGGGTAATTGGGATGGCCATCACCTCAAACATTTATCTTTTTATTGTGTTGGTAACATTATAGTTTTTTTCTTCTGGCTGTTTTGAATTATATAATAAGTTAATATGAACTCTGATTTTCCTCCTGTGCTATTGAATACCAGAACTTATCTAACTGTATTTTTTTTTATTCCTTCTCCCACTTCTTTTCATTCTCTCCACTTCCCTTCCCAGCCTCTTTTAACCACCGTTCTACACCCCTCTTCCACGAGATCCACTTTTTAAGTTTCCATATATGAGTGAGAACATGTGATATTTGTCTTTATGTGCCTGGCTTATTTAATTTAACATAATGACCTCCAGTTCCATCCATGTTGCTGCAAATGACAGGATTTCAGTCTTTTTTATGGCAGAATAGTATTCCATTGTGTGTATGTACCGTATTCATTTATCCATTTATCTGTGGCTGGACACTTAGGTTGATTCCATATCTTGGCTGTTGTGATAGTGCTGCAATAAATATGGGAGTGCATTATCATATAATGTAATTATTTGTCTCTTTGTACAGGTTTTAACTTGATGTCTGCTTTATCTGATGTAAGTATAGCTACTCTTGCTTGCTTTTGGTTTCCATTTGCATGAAATATATTTTTCCATCCCTTCACTTTAATACTATGTATATCGTTATTGGTGAGATGAGTTTCTTGTAGTCCACATATAGTTGGGTCATCTTTTTCTTTTTATTCAGCCAGTCTATATCTTTTTAGTAGGGAATGTTATTTATTTACATTCAGGGTTATTGATAGGTAAGGACTAATTCCTGTCATTTTATTGATTGTTTTCTAGTTGTATATCTTTTGTTCCTTACTTCTTACTGTTTATTTTTTCACTTGGGTGGTTTTCTGTAGATTTGATTCCTTTGTTTTTCTCCTTTGTGTGTTGGTTCTACCAGGGAGTTTTATAGTTTTCCAGGTTTTCATGATGGTGGATATCATCATACTATTTCCAGATATAAGACTCCCGTGAGCATTTCTTGTAAGACTAGTTTAGTGGTGATGAATTCTTTGAGTTTTGTTTGTCTCTGAAGATTTATATTTGTCCTTCATTTCTGAAAAATAGCTTTGCTGGGTATAATATTCTTGGCTGGAAGTTTATCTATTTTCAGTACTTTGAATGTAGCATCCAATTCTCTCCTGAAATGTAAGGTTTCTGCTGAAAAATACGCTGTTAGTAAAATAGAGATTCCCTTATATGTGACTTGATGCTTTACTCTTGCTGCTTTGATTTTTTCTTTGTCTATGGATTTTGACAGTTTGACTATAATGTACCTCTGAGAAGACCTATTTGGATTGAAACTATTTGGTTATTCGACCTTCCTGGACCTGGATTTCCATCTCTTTCCCAAGACTTGAGGCATTCTCTGCTATGATTTATTAAATAGTTTTCCTCACCTTCTCCCTTATCTTCTGCTAGAATGCCCGTATTATGAATATTTATTTGCTTAATGATATCTCATAACTCACATAGGCTTTATTCTTTTTTATTCTTTATTCTTTTTTTGTCTGCTGGTATTATTTCAAAAGTCCTGTCTTCAAGTTCAGAAATTCTTTCTTCAGCTTGATCAAGCCTAGTTGCTTAATCTAGTTGTTAAACCTCTCAATTATGTTTTTAAATTTTATTCATTGAATTCTTTAACTCTAGGATTTATCTTTGGTCCTTTGAGCTGCTCAGCTCACCTGGTGGTATGCCCCCAAAGGCAACCCATGGGTCTTTTTCTTGAGTCTGAGACATGGGCACATAGCTGCTTGTTGGGCCTGGGAGCATGCTTACCATGGTCAGCCTGCGAGACTGTTTCTCAGGCGTTTTTGGAGACTTGGGGACATTGGGCAGCCTAGAAGTATTTCTTCTTGTGGCAGGGGTGCCATAGGGGTGTTTCCCAGGTCCTGAGCACAGGTGTTTAGCAACTCTGCTGGCCCGGGGTGAATCAGCTGTTAGGAGGCTCAGGAGCCTCTCCTGCTTTGGGGAGGGTGTGTAATGGTTTGGCTAAATCAAGGGCAGGTTTGTCCTGGGCAGGACTGCTGGGCTGTTTCTCCGGCTGGAAGTGCAGTGGCGAAGGTTGGTTTCTGTGTTGTGCAGGGCCAGACTCACAGCGGATCCTGGTCCCAGGCTTCATGCAACTGGGGTTGTGACACTCAGCCACCCATGTAGGCTTGGTGTAGTAAAGATGGAGCCCCAGGGCTGGAGAATGGCAGTGACTTCTGGCCCCCAGAGCAGGGCACGCTCCGGAGGCAGCTCTGATCTCAAGATGGTGCTGTGCTACAGCAGCTTTGGTTCACAGGGTGGGTGGGGAGTGAGGAGTGCACACTTCGTGCTCCTAATCTGGGGTAATGCAGCAGCCTGAATTTCCAGCAGCTCCCAAACTGGGCTCAGGGCTTGCAGGGACTGTGGGATTCTCCTGTTGTAAAGACTTCAGGTGTTTGTGGTGGTGATGTGGGTGATTGGGAATCTCTTGCTTACCTTTTCCTTGCAAGGGGAGGTCCCTTCTGACTCTGGGCAGATTTGACCCAGGCGGGGGAGGTGGGACTACAGAGGCCAGGCACCTCCATGCTGCTCTCCTGGACTTCCAGTCACCACAGGTGCATCTTCAGTTCCTCTGTTGTGTTGCAGTGCTCTTCCTTCCACACTCTAGTGAGATCTTAGCTGTTTATTTATTGCCTTTTTTTTTTTCTTTTGGAGGGGGACAAGTGCCAGGTGTCTCTAGTCAGCTATCTTGCTAATATCTCTCAGTCTAGTTGTCAGTTTCTCCAGGTACAGTATGCTTGATTGGCATTTTTTCTTTCTTTCCCTGAATATATCACGACCTCACCTCACTTCTATCGTATAAGGTTTTTGCTGAACGGTCTGCTGCCAGGCATATTGGGTCTCCCTTATGTGTTATTTACTTATTTTATCTCAGTGCTTTCAAGATCCTCTCTTTGTCTTTGACCTTTGAAAGTTTGATTATAGTATGTCTTTGGGTATTCTTATTTGGGTTGAATCTTATTGGTAACTTTTGACCTTCCGGTATGTATTTATATCTCCAGGTTTGGAAAGTTTTCTATTATTTCTTTGAATAACCTTCTACCACTTTGTCTTCCTCAGTTCCTTCTTGAACTCTACTAACCTGAATATTTGCTCTTTTGTTGTCTCATAGCTCCCGTAAGCTTCTTCATTCCTTTTCATTTTCTTTTTTCTCCTCTGACTGTGTATTTTCAAGTACTGTGTCTTTGAGCTCACTGGTTATTTCTTCTGTTTGCTGAATTCTGTGGTTGATGCTATCTATTGCATTTTTCATTTCACTAATTGTATTTTTTAGCTCCAAAATTTTTGATGTTTTTTTAAATTAACAATCTCTGTTAAGTTTC